ACTGTTTACCTCAATTTAACTGAACAGATGAAAAAAAATCACAAATTCTCAAAAAAGACATTGTGCTAAATGGCTTCATAAACTCAAGCTAAATATGTTATGAAATTGTCTGTGATTTGTAAATAACTGTTATCTTTTCTTTCTGGTGAATCTAAAGTATTGTAGAAAAATATTCATTTTTAAGTGTTGATTTACACCATAGGTGTCATTAGTCAGGTCTGCATGAGTTTAGCACATCAAAATTATGCTTCAGTTTTCTCCTAGCTGTTTTTTTTTCTGTCATTAAAGTCAAGTTTTTATAGCTTGGTTATTCAAAGCAGAAAATATATTCACTGTGACAAGAGTAGTTCAAAGAATGAAGTAAATATAGGGTGACCATACGTGCCATTTTCCCAAGACGCATCCTGGCCAGGATTTCTATATTGCCTAAAATATCTAGGTTTTGGCTTTGTTTGCATGTGCAGACCGATCGGTCTTGCTTGGTAAAATCACCATAGAGCCAACTCTCCCATCCTCTACCTGTCAGGGACCTGAATTTAGAGGCCAAAATTATTTTTTCCTCTCGTTAGTATGTACATATTATGTAAAATGTGTAAAAAGTTATTTTTATTAGACAAAGACTGAAGTTCAGGTTTCGTATCTTGGGGGAACTTTAGAGTTTTATGTACTGGGAGACGGGCAGAAATAGCAACTCGATCTCCTCGAAGTGTGACATTGTGTAAACACTTTCGTAGCAGATTGCAAACAACCCGTGTTGTTGTGCTGGTTAGCATTAGCACTATTAGCATCACAATGACTGTTGATTTTCTCTGTTTTCTCAAAGCAGAAATTGCTCCTAGTTTGAAGAAGCATAATTGTGCTATACAATAACAATAATGACATTCCATCAGGGTATCCATTCATTGTCTTTCAGTTGAATTACTTTAGTGAGTAATGAGTAGCGCAACTTCAGCCAGCTGCTTTTAGTGGCTCAGCTGTGGGCAATGCATGAATCATAGCATAATGATGCATTTGTGACACAATTTCTTGATAACCCCCGGTGCAATGGAGGACACAGTAGATCCCCCCCATGTGTCTACATTTCAAGCAGGCATCTCTGCAGCCTCCCAGTAAGACTGCAGGGTCCCATCAACATAATCCTTAATAAAGAACGGTTTCACTTTTAATCTTACCCACTTCTCATATTTCCAGCTTGATATAGTTTTTGGCAAGTAATGTTTTAGCACTGATGTCAGTCTAGGACTATCAATGCATCTTTGTAAGTCCATCACAAACACATAATAGGAACATTGCGAGCTTGATTGTCTAATTCTAAGGGGCCGTTTGCTAAGTGTTTAAGTCTAGTGGAAAAATAAGGCTGTTAAAGCCTAGATTTAGACTCTCAGATGTAGGATCAACACACACAACATAAATATATACTTGTACTTGTTTTTATGTATCTATAGATATAGAATGAAAAACTGAAAATGTATTTAATTATTTATTTAATGTCAAAATGCATGATTTGCAGTTCAGCACTATATATAATTGAATACTCTCACACAACAGTATTACACAACATAAACCATGTTATCAGAACTTTATTTATACTTCCAAACTAGCAACTTATTATTTTCCCAAGATATGAATTTAGTTTTGTTATTTTTGGCCTTTCATGTTAGTGAGTCAATATATCTCTCAGAATCTTAATCGCAGTTTTATTGAATACTATGAGAGATCTTTTACCTGATATTGTGCTATTTATAGTTAAATGGTACAGTAATGTGAAACATACCTTTCCACTAACGTTGAAGCCTTTGCTTAGGGGAAATTGCTTGGGAGACATAAACAACTTGGGATAATTATGCTGTGCAATTTTAAAATATCTGCAAAATTACATTGAAAGTTAATTTTATGTGTGAGAGAGGGGGTTATAACTCGATTGGCATATAAACCCCTCAGCTACGGCAAATAGTTACTTGAGATCCCCTCTGCATTTATTAGTCTATTGAGTTATCAAGAGCCTCTTCAAAATGCAATATATTTAATTTTCTCAGGCTGAAATGTGAAACGCCGGCTTTTACCTGTAGGTACATCTGTAGTGTAAACGCCTGTGCATTTGCATGACCTCTGCTTTAGTTGCGCACCACATCTAGATGAGGAAGTCAAGCTCAGGTCTGTTTTTACTGAGTAGGACGGCAGAGGTTTGACCTGCTGTCCCATATATGGCTGCCGAGTCCATTTCATTGCGACACACCAGCATCATCAAGGTGTGTGAGTGAGCTTGTGAGTGTGTGTTTGTCTTTTTAGCCACCTTGTAATTAATTTTTAGGTTTTTACCAATAACTTGCAAAGAAGGCCTATGCAGTATATATATAAAATAAGGCACTGCTGCATTTGTTCATTATAGATGTAGTTTAGACAATTATTGTTTATTGATACATTACTTTAACAATTATATTATTATCATTGCTATGTTGTATATCCCTTTGAAAATGTAAACTTTCATCCATAACTCTACAGGTAAACTAAAAAAAACTACTGAATTATGTATTTCTTTATTAGATTTAGATTTTATATAAATATTATTTAATAGAAATCCTCTTTACACATGTTTGTGTGTGTATGTGTGTGTGTGTGTGTGTGTCTGATTTTCTTTATATCATTACTTATATTTTTGTATATTCTTTTATTTTATATACATTTTATGCACATAGCTTAGTTACATTAAAATTAAGACCATTATATTAACACAATTTTATTTCAATTTATAGATAGATAGATAGATAGATAGATAGATAGATAGATAGATAGATAGATAGATAGATAGATAGATAGATAGATAGATAGATAGATAGATGTTACACATACATATTGGTACACATATAAACTATATATTAACATCTAGCTAGCTAGATAAAAAAAATTAATTGAATGAAATTGCATATTATATTTTAATAAATGTCTATATACCCTATGTTCATTAGCTTCATTTAAATGTAAATTTATATATGCATAAATGTTATATTGAGATTCACAACACATCCACAAAAGGAATGCATTTCTTTATGTAATAGATTGCATTTGGTAGTATTCCATTGTCAGGGAGCAGTGAAGGTAAACTTTGGAAACAAATGAAATAATAAGCTGGAGCAGACAGACGACAGTCATTACCTTGCAAACAACAGTGAACAGTCAACTTGTTGTGAGGGCTTCCACTATAATGCTGATCGGACGAGCCAGTTTGCTCCAATAAAATCAACTTCATCATTTACAAACTATATTTACTTAATGCATGCCTACTAGGATCCTTTTGTCAGGGGCAAACCAGAGAGAATCAGCCACACAAAAAAAGAACCGGTTTGTGGGAAGAAGAAAATAAAAATAAAAAATAGAGAGAGAGAAATTGAGAGAGAGAAAAAGCTGTGCCCTGGGGCTGTGTGTGTGCAGAGCCACAGTATCCAGCAGACTAGCAGAGATGCATGCAGGATCTGCCGTTTCATTGTCTTAGGATCACTGATACAATCTAGAGGAAGGCTATATTGCTTAAAGCTCTGAGTGAATGACATATGGAGGACTGGTGTGAAGAAAACTCCCCAGTGCCTCCTCCAAACTAAAGTCTTCCTGTGAGAGAGAGAAGCGAGCAACTTTCTGCGCTTTCAAACTGCATGCTCCCTCCCTCTCTCTCTCTCTCTACCTCTCTACCTCTCTGTCTCTCTCAACCGGCTCTTTTTTTTTTTTTTTATAATCCCCAGAATGTAAATGTACACCTCATATAATTGACAAAAAAATCCACAGTATAATAAATACCACCAAATATTTCAGTCTTGCTTGTTATTACATCAGAATTGAAGTATTCAGGTGAATCTCATCCGTATCGGAGCGGCTCAGACAGCCCGCATGCTCTATAATCATCAATGTTAAAAGCCCGGCAGTGTTTGCCGATGGAAACACAGTGCTTGAAATAAACAAAGCGAGACAAAAAGCCGTGCAAACAGTCGTGAGTGAAGCATGTTTGGCTTTTTTGATGACGCTTCCAACGCAGGTCTTTGTTCACGAGAGCTTCAAAGGTTGAATTCAAGTGCACATCAAAGATGCTGAATGCACTCCTTTTTTTGAATATATTTTTTTTATAATCCCCAGAATGTAAATGTACACCTCATATAATTGACAAAAAAATCCACAGTATAATAAATACCACCAAATATTTCAGTCTTGCTTGTTATTACATCAGAATTGAAGTATTCAGGTGAATCTCATCCGTATCGGAGCGGCTCAGACAGCCCGCGTGCTCTATAATCATCAATGTTAAAAGCCCGGCAGTGTTTGCCGATGGAAACACAGTGCTTGAAATAAGCAAAGCGAGACAAAAAGCCGTGCAAACAGTCGTGAGTGAAGCATGTTTGGCTTTTTTGATGAAGCTTCCAACGCAGGTCTTTGTTCACGAGAGCTTCAAAGGTTGAATTAGTCACCCACCCCTCCCTTTCCTGCTTACCTTGGCTAAGCCGCTTTGCATGTTGATTGGGGGAGGACTAATCCAGTTTGCAGCTGTCGTAGACCAATGATGAATCACCTTACCATCATTCGGCAGGGAGGAGGGAAGACCTGGAAGGAGGAAACAACAGTGGAGGGGTTGAGCCTATAGACAATGTGCCTCTCTGTTCCACCGACTCCTCTCTTCCCATTCTGCGCGAGAATAACAAAAATGTTTTCTCAGACAACGTCTATTGTGTCACGGATGGCTCTTCACAGAGACATCGAGCTGAAATAACAAGGAGTGATATTGTGTTTAGGGTCCTGGCAGGTGGAAAAAGGGATAGGGAGAAAGAAAGAAAGAGAGGGAAAAAAACTATTTGACATAGATGCTTGAGGTCCGTCCAGCTTCAGGTAAAAGAGAACTGATTTGCCAGCAGCATCACTGAAAAGCAGCCACTTGTTTAGCAAAGTTGAGTTCTGAAACGCTTAGGACTTCTTGAGAAGGTGTCTGGACGTTTTTGTAAACTGCTGGAAGTGTGAAAGAATCAAGACAGAGAGAGTTAGAGGTGTTAGAGAAGGAAAACATTTGACATATATGCTTTGTGTCAGAAACAGACGTTGTTTGAAAAGCAAGTCGAGTTTTAACATCTCTATGGCATGGATTATTTTTCTCATTTTAACTGCGACCATCTGTAACGGATATTTTATAGCTGATCAAGAACGACGGCTAAAAAGAGGTATGATAATCCACGCTGATAAAACGTTTCTTATTTCCTCCTCTTTGTTATTCATAAAAATCCAAATATTTGTTGATAGCAGTGACACGACCATTCCTAATTGATTCTGGCAGAGCGGCACGCAAGGCATCGTGTTTTTGGCGCAATTAGCGCAATAATGCTTTTCTGGAGACTGATGTTTGTTTTAGTTTTTCGGCCGCGTTCACATCACATACAAACACCCGTAACATACATCCGACCGCAGACGCCCACTGGCCTGACCTTCCATTTGCTATGCATAATAAAATCCCGTGAGTGTGCGATGGAGCCAGCAGAATAATGTTTTCAGTGGCGTGGCCCTTGGTACATAAACAAAGAAACAATTAAGACGCTCGCCAGAGCAAACAGCATGCTTTAGTGAACTCTTCAGTCGCTCTCGTTGAGGTTTGAGGCCTCGCAATCACACATCTCTCTCTCACACAGCCCCGGCTATTGCTGCTTCAGATCAGAGACCGCTGGGGGAAATGAACGTAGGAAAATTGCAGCGTGCTCTGCGGGACTAGTGGTGGTTAATTTGTAATGGTTAATATGAGAAAGTCAATCAATCATCAGATGTCTCATTAATTGTTAAATTTGTGTCAAATGTCATTTGATGTGCCTCAAGGGTATGCCCTTGTTAAGCGGATTTCTCTGGAGCGCTGCTGGAATGTTCTTATTTATTGTTGTTTGGTTTTGAGAAAGCCACATTTTGAATCAATTATTTAAATCATTTTAGTTAATTAATGTTGTTTTTTAAATAATAATAATAACAATATAAAATTAAGAAATTATTATTGTTATTATGGTACTGTTTTGCTGTTATAAATTTATGCTGTTTGTAAAGTTAATGGATAGGTATTACATGTATCTAAAATTCTATTTAAGCTACAGAAAAATGTCAATATTGGGGTTTTAAATATACATCTGTTATAATACACATACAAAGTGTAATCAATTTTTATTGTTGATTGTTAATGTAATTAATATTTATTTTGAACGATCATTCACATTTCAGATCTTGAAGTACGTGTTAGTTTGAGTGTGTGTGCATGTCATTCAATATCATGTGTGTCTCTTCCTCTCAGGTCTATGGAAATGCAGGATCTAGCTAGTCCACACAGCCGAGTAAGTGGAAGCAGTGAGTCCCCAAACGGTCCCAACATCGACAACTCACATATAAATAACAATTCCATGACACCAAATGGCACTGAAGGTACGTCTCCTCAGTCTCTGTCGGACCGTATACCTTAATTACTGAATACTAATAAGTGCTACAGCACACGGTTTTTAACCTGCACATTTCCATTTATGTGCTGTTAACTTATGAAAAGTTGAATACGTGTTAAACATCGTGTGATGCGCTTGTCATATCGTGGGTATTCATATACTTCATTTTGGCTATTGTAATCAAGTCAACGTTTTTTAATAAAATTAAATTTAAATATACATGAATTTGGAGTATCCGTTTCCCAATTTTCAACTTTGTTGCTACAATATTTTAATTATACATTTATACATCATTTTTGCATCGGTGCACTTTAGAGCTAAATGAATACATTTTAAAAAATGACTTAATGCGTGTGTTTTCACGGATAATGTTACAGCCCATAAGAATTTTAATCTTCTCTGAAGTAGTTTACATTATGTAATATTGACTGTGGTTTTCTTCCATTTCTGTAGTGATAAGCCCCAACCTGTCACAGTGCAGATTGTCATGTGTCCTGTCCTGTTCTTTCTCCCTATAGGTGATAACATCACTATGCTTACCACAGCTGACTGGTTGTTAAGTTCTAGTTCACAGTCCGCTGCAGGTTTGTGCAGTTCTGGCGAAACAATGAAAGGACAATACTTGGCGTCATATGTGAAATGACACACGTTATATAGTCATTTCAGCCTGAGGCAATCCTAACAATTCCATCTGATTATATTCACAAATGTGAAAAGCCAATTTGATGTGCTCACATCTCTTCAACTATTGTGCCTTTCATTTGGACACTTGTTTGGCATTCTGTGTTGTGTTATGGTGAATCTGTTGAAAGCATGGTTTGAGACTTTTTGGCTATGATTCCAGACCGTCAATGAATGGTAAAGCTGTGGGCACGTGTAATGTGCGTTTAGCTTTTTATTTGATGTTCTGCAGGACGGTTTTATGGTTATGTGTGGTATGTGATAAGACTTGACTGCACTAGTTTCTGCATGTGCCGTGCCACTATTTTCCCGTATCCCTTTGAGAAGGAGGGGTGGGGGAGCGTTGGGACGTATTCAAACCGCTCCCCATCGACATGTGTTCCTTTGAGGGAGAGCATAGCTGCAACATGTTTGACATGACAAGCTGATGGCTACCTCATCCATGAGGGATTTCAGTGGGCATGACTCCGTACCCACATTGTGAATTTTGTTTTCATAAATGTAAACCTCCACCCCACCCCCTCCTGAGACAGAGATGGATTCATTTCAAAGATCCGGGCCTGTCTAAACGCTGTGAAATCGTCTCCCGGTTGCCCTCATTGTAGTTCGGAGTGGTTGGGTCAAGCATAGATCCGGGCCTGTCTAAACGCTGTGAAATCATCTCCCGGTTGCCCTCATTGTAGTTCGGAGTGGTTGGGTCAAGCACATTTTATACACCATGCATTGCCTTTACATATCAATTATGCTGCACGTCCATGCATTCCACAGTTTACTCCTGCCATTAAATTCCACCTTTTTTGCCTGTTTTCCCTTGATGCTACATAAAACCCTTCCGGTAAGAAATCAAGTGACTAATATTATTAAAAATACATCTTTTGGCATTATATAAAAGGTCAATGTTTTCAATGTAAAAAATAAAAAAAAGTTAATTATTTAATTAAAAAGGATGTTTTATATATATATATATATATATACAGTGGGTACGGAAAGTATTCAGACCCCCTTAAATTTTTCACTCTTTGTTATATTGCAGCCATTTGCTAAAATCATTTAAGTTAATTTTTTTTC